CTCCTCAGTGCCTTTACTCCTGCTGTTCCCTCGGAGTGGAACACCATCGCCCCATTGCCTGTGGGAATTCTATCCATCCTTCAAAGCCCACTCCCCTCTCCTCTTCTGGGAAGTCTTCCTTCAGCCCCCGGCCGCTGGCCAACTTTCTTACTTCCTCTTGTCCCTAAAGGAAAGACGTTTAAGAGCTAGGGGCTGGGGCTGGCCCTGTGGCCAAGTGGTTGGGTTCGCGCGCTCCGCTGCAGGCGGCCCAGTGTTTCGTTGGTTCGAATCCTGGGCACGGACGTGGCACTGCTCATCAAGCCACGCTGAGGCAGCGTCCCACATGCCACAATCAGAAGGACCCACAACAAAGAATATACAACTATGTACCGGGGAGCTTTGAGGAGAAAAAGGAAAAAAAATTAAAAAAAAAAAAAGCTGGGGGCTGAAACTGTGCCCCATCCCGAGCCCTGCTTGTGAGTCCCAGAGAGTTGGAAGGGCTCTGGGGATCCTCTGGTCAAATGTCTTCCTCTTCCTCAAGGACAGACGATGGCCTTCGCTGTCCTGGCCAGTGGCACTGGAGGGACTGGCCTCTCCCTCCCTACCTGACGCGCCTCCTTCCTCACTGGCCTCGCGGACGCCCCCTCCCGGGTTTTCCTCCCGCCTCTCTGGCTGCTGCTTCTTGGTCTCCTTTGCTGGTGCCTCCTCTTCACTCCCTCCTTCTCCTGTCAGTGTCCCCAGGCTCAGTCCTTTGTCCTCTTCTTGTCTGCCCTCACGCCCTCTGATCACGCCCAGTTCAGGTCTTCAAATACCAGCTCTCTGCTGATAGCACCCAAAGGTGCATCTAAGGCCCCAAACTCTCTCCCTGAACTGCAGGCTCAGATTCTTCTGTTTACCTGCCTTCTTAGCATCTCCGCTCACACATCTGCGAGACATCTCAAACCTAACCGGGCCAGAACTCTCCAACCTGCTCCACCCTCGTCTTCCCTGCCTCAGTTAATGACAGCTCCCTCTTCCATTGTTCAAGCCAAAAATCCTTGGAGTCCTCCTGGGACCTGACCAATCCCCTTCCCCTCCATTGCTGCCACCTGGGCCAAACTACCATTATCTCTCACCCGGATTACCACAACCGCCTCCTGACTCTGCTCTGTCCTTGCCCTCTGCAACCTCTTCTCCGCAGCGTGGCTAGAGTTAACTCTGGCTAACTGTTGACTGTGGGTCCCATCACATCCCTCTTCTGCTCAAAATTCTCCAGTGGCTCCCATCTCACTCCGAGTAAAAGCAAAAGGGCCCGCAACACCCTACATGACCTGTGCCTCCTTTACTCCCCTTGCTTACCTTTTAAAAACTCATCTCCTACTGTCTTCCTTGATTCAGCCGCCCTGTACACTCCTGCCTCAGGGCCTTTGCACTGGCTGTTCCCGCTGCTTGGGGGATTCTTCCTCCAAGAATAATAGCCCCCTCCCTCGCCTCCATGGCAAATCTTTGCTCACATGTCAGCTTCTTAAAGGCCTTCTCTGACCACCCTACTTAAAACTGCAAACCAGCTCCTCTCAGCACTGCCTATTACCTCCCCCTCCCCCTGCTCAGTTTTGTCTTTGCAATTATGGCTTCCCTACATACTATATAATTGACTTTATTTAGTCTGTTGCTTATCTATCTTCTCCTCTAGAATGTCAGCTCCACAGGGCAGGGATCTCCTGTGTCTTGCTCCAGCTGGATCCCAGCGCCTACCTCAGTGCAACACACACATCAAGCGAACATCTTAGCATTCCGAAGTCCAGAATGAGTGCGTGTCTTGCAAGGTCTCTGGAGACCACAGGAGGTGCAGTGGGAAAGTCACTGGCTTGGGAGTCTGTCGGCCTGTCACCCTCCTTCAGGTTGACCCATCTTGGACAAGGCTCTTAGCCTCTCTAGAGCTCCTGTCTGAAAAATGGAGATGTGTGTCAAGCGCTCATAAATGCTGGCACACGCACGCGCGCGCATCCGTGAAAACACGAGCGCTGGTATTCTCACGCCATTGACACTTTTCCATACAGGACTTCATTTCGCCCTCACAGCGACCCCAAAGGTGGGAAGAGCCCCTTTTGGACAGATGAGAAAACAGCAGGGAGGCCCGGCGCCTCCTCGCGCGACTGGACAGCCGAGGTCGGACCCCTCCCCACGCCCGGGGCGGCCAGCGGCTCGAGGCTCGCGAGGGTCCTGGCGGGCGCAGCGCGGGGCTGGGCGCCGGGGACTACATTTCCCAGGAGGAGTTGCCCGCAGCCCTGCGGCTCCCGGGTCTTTAAAGGGCTCGCGTTAAAGGGGCGGGGGGAGTTCCGCCGTCTGCCGGCGGGAAACTGCTCTGAGCTCGGGCTGGGGGGGAACCCGAGAGCTGCCTGCGGGGGTGCCCGGGCGCGTCCGGCCCGAGTCCAGAAGACCCCAGGCCCTGCAGTGTCGGCGAGGCGAGGGGAGGCCAAGCCAATCTGGAGGCAGCCCTCCCTCATCGTGCCCCCCTCGGCCTCGGCCTGGGCGCCCGACTCCCGGGACCCCCTCCCGGTCCCCTCCAATTCTCCCCAACAGGGGGAGGGGCGGTGAAGCTCGCCGCCCGCAGGAGCAGGATTGTCGGCCGGCGGGAACCCCCGCGACCCTGAGGCGACCCCTCCCTGCATTTCTGGCTTCAGTTCCAGGAGAAAATTTACGGGTCGCTAGGATTGGGGGGGGGGGGGGGGGGCGGTTACGGGATGTGAGAGCTACAAAATTAAGTGAAGGCCCGGGGGCGCCGGGAGCTGAACCTCACAGTGCGCCCCCATATCCATCCTTCCGAATGAGGTGATGGGGGATGTGATCACGTAACCTGCCTCCCCAGGCTGGAGGCGCAAAGGATCAAGAAACGGGTGGAGAGCGCTTTGTAAACTGTGATGCGCTGTGTAAATAAAATTATTTCATCATCGTGCCATTGGATTCATCCAGTCCTTATTCTAAGACACGCACGGACCTGGGGGGATGACATGTCTGGGGGAGAGGTGGAATAATATCTTGGACCTAGGGGTGTGCAAATAACACCTATTTCCCCATCCAGATCTTAATGGGAACCAGAAGAATTGGCTTTGCAAATAACCAAAACAAGCCCACCAGAATGTTGTGTTTTCAAATCAGGAAACTTCAGGGTAGTTGATAGCATCCAAATAAGAACCTTGACCTTTTGAACTAACCTAGCCCTTCGTTGCTTCTCTTCCCCGCCTGTGCCACCAAGATAAGCCCAGGGAGAAGGCGTCCGATGCAGATACCGAGTCTCAGGCCTCCCCTTCCCCCTCCCAATCATTTGGATTAATCCATCCCTTGGTGTAGGGGGGAAACCCATTAATTTCCCTGGCCTCAGAGACTTCCAAGTCCAATAGGAGCCCTCCCCCAGACACCCCCGAGCTGCGACCTGTCCCCCCATCTAAACCCTCCAATCTTTCCCCCCCTCCCCTCCCCAACAGCCAGTGTCTGCAAACAGCTCCCGGACCCTACCAGAGATGTCGTTCATCATTTTGACCAGCTGTAAAGCCCCACTCCCAGGGTATTGTTTAATTGAAGAGTGACGAGCCTCTTTCTTAGGGAACAGAGCAGGTTTGTTGTGGGAGGGGGCCCAGGGAACCAGCATCCCAGAATCTGGGGCCCCTGCCAAGAGGGACCCTGCACGTGAGTAGGATGTCTGTGGCAGACAAGGGGTCCCAGGAACTCTGGAGTCCCTTCCGCTGGCCTCTGGGCCCCAAAAGCCCTTCAGAGCCCCCAAGACTCCGTGTAGACGGTGGCGCCCCTTGTTTGCCTCTTCTATACCTGCCAGGCAGCACAGGAGAAGATGTGTACATTTTAACAAAGACATCGCATCCTCCCAGCAAAATGGCGGTGGTCCCGGCCACGGCTCCCTGAACAACTGCACACTTTCGAGGATTAGTCAGGACCCGAGGAACACTACCCCCTCCCCGACCGCTCCCCTAGAGCCCGGTTTTCCCAAGTTCCCAAAGCACTCAGGGCCTCTCCTCATCCCAGGGGCCCCCAGGACAGTCTCTTGTTTTAGCATTTAGGGCAGCTCCTCCATTGTGGACCACCGCCCGCTCTGCCTCCCCCCACCCCCAACTGCTTTCAAGGGGCTTTGGGAGGCGGACTGGACCCCCAGGATGGGCCTCAGGGGTGGGGGCAGCGAGCTCTGCCTCTGACACCCCAACACTCCTAGGCTGAGGGAGGTATAGAAATGAATTCCCGGTTAGGATACATGGGAGACGCGGGGGTCTTTGAGGGGAGGAGGCGACTCAAGAGACCCCTCCTCGTTCCCTCAGGGGACCCAGGCAGCATTGGGGGATTGGCCTCAGGAGAGACTCTGGATGCAGAGGTCAGGGGGCGCGCTGGGGGAGAGACGACAGAGGAGGGGGAAGGGACAAAGTTTGAAAGTGCCCTTCCAACTCTTCCAGGGAAAGTTTGCTTGGGGGCCCCATGGACAGAGAGAGGGTAGAGGTGCGGGGGGCCGGGTGGCGGGATGACCCCCGAGAGGTGACCGGACCCCGGGGGAGCGACCCCTCCCCCCTGTCCCGGCTCGGCCCGGCTGGGAGTCGCCCGGCTCGGGGCGGCGTGTGTTAGTTGCGGCCGCTTTCGGGCCGCTCCGCCGGGCTGGGGGGCCCCGCCGCGGGCCGGGAGCGGGGTCCCCGGTAGCCCCAGGGGGCAGCTTTGCTACGGGGGGTTTCCCGCACCGGGGCGCCCCGGCCCCGCAGAGCCAGCCCCCCGCAAAGGGGAAATGTGCCGGCGCCCCGGCGGTCCTCGGCGCCGTTTGGGGCGCGTGGCGGGCGCGGGGGGCGGCGGCCGGGCCGGCGAGGCGGCCGGCGGGGGAGCCCAGGGAGCCGGGCAGCGGCCCCGGGCGGCGGCGGGGAGCGGGAGGGCTCGGGCCGGGGCGAAAGGTCGGATTTGCTGGGCGGAAGAAACACAGATGGCGGCGGCGAGGCGCCATTCCGGGCCGGGAGCAGGCAGCCAGCAGCCCTGTCCTCACCGCGGTCCGCCCGCCGCCGCTAAATACCCGGATGCGCCGCCCGAGCGCCAGACGCGGAGCTGGGAAAAGGGAGGCAGAGGAGGCGGAGGCGGAGGCAGAGCCCGGCGCCGGGAGCCACCGACGGAGCGGCGGGGCTGGGCCACGCAGCGCCGGCCCGGCGAGTCCTCCCGCGACCCGAGCCGGGTCCCCGCGAGCCGCGCTGCGCGCTGGCCTGGGCGTCAGGGGCGCGAGAGCAGATCCCGAGGCGGGCTTTCCTCGGCCTGCGACGAGGGCTGGCCCTTCGGAAGGCACCTTCCACAGCAGGAGTGGGCAGGCCACCATGACCGAGAACTCCACGTCCACCCCCGCGGCCAAGCCCAAGCGGGCCAAGGCCTCCAAGAAGTCCACGGACCACCCCAAGTATTCAGACATGATCGTGGCTGCCATTCAGGCGGAGAAGAACCGCGCTGGCTCCTCGCGCCAGTCCATCCAGAAGTACATCAAGAGCCACTACAAGGTGGGTGAGAACGCCGACTCGCAGATCAAGCTGTCCATCAAGCGCCTGGTCACTACCGGAGTCCTCAAGCAGACCAAAGGGGTGGGCGCCTCGGGCTCCTTCCGGCTGGCCAAGAGCGACGAGCCCAAGAGGTCAGTGGCCTTCAAGAAGACAAAGAAGGAAGTCAAGAAGGTGGCTACGCCAAAGAAGGTAGCCAAGCCGAAGAAGGCTGCCTCTAAAGCCCCAAGCAAGAAGCCCAAAGCTGCCCCAGTCAAGAAGACCAAGAAGAAGCCGGCTGCCACGCCCAAGAAAACCAAAAAACCCAAGACTGTCAAAGCCAAGCCAGTCAAGGCCTCCAAACCCAAGAAGGCGAAACCAGTGAAGCCCAAAGCCAAGTCCAGTGCCAAGAGGGCCGGCAAGAAGAAGTGACAATGAGGCTTTTCTTTGGACACTCCTGCCTGTCTCCTATTTTCTGTAAATACTGTTCTCCTTCTCTCTTGATCCTCATCTGCAACCCTTTGGCCCTTTCTGTTCTGACTTTTTAAGAGACAATTTGGACTCTTCAGAAATTAGGAAATAATTCATTTTTCCTTAACCAGTCACGCAAGGACAGCAACAACCGATCTCATCTGTGTCATGATGAGAATGTACTTATGTTTTGTTTTGTTAATTTGTTATTAACCTACTTGTGGGGTTAGGGATTTGGGGGCGTGTGTGTTTTGTTTAGTTGGATGGTTTGGTCGCTAGGAAGGTAAAAGTGGGAGGAGAACGGGCAAAGCAACTTGTTCTGGCTAGATGAGAGGGAGCCTGGGAATCCTAAGGCTTGTAGGAGTATCTTTAAGGCCAGCGAGCTTGCTTTGAGTTGAGCACCCCTTGTGAGTTTCAGGACCCTGATGGGGAGGAGAGGAGAGGAGTGGCAGCCGCTGGGTGGCACAGGAGGGAGATGGAAAAATCTCTCTCTGGGCTGACTTCCACCTCCCAGTGGTGAGCAGTGGGGGGTCCAAATCCAGTCTCCTCACTTCTGTTAGTCTGCCCCTGTGGCCTCCCTATTGTCCTAAGGAAGGGGAGGGGGTAGAAGTGACAGCTGGCCCGAGAAGCGGTGGCTTTTCTCAGTCAGTTAGGAACCAGCTATTGGGGGGTCTTTGCCGATTGGGGGAAGTCTCATGGTGAACGGAGTGGAAACTTTGGGGATTGGTGGGGAGTCAGTCAGCCAAGTGCCTCAGTGTGCCCTGTTGAAACTTGGGTTTTTCCACACAATTGGATTGTATCTTAGGAGGATTTTTTTTTCTTTTTCCCTGGCTTTTTGTTCCTTTTTCCTGTATAGGAGGTGGCTTGGCAGACTGGTGGGGTCCGGCCCAGCCACCTGCCACTTACAAACCTTCCGACCTCTTTACTTCGGAGTCTTTTTTAAGTAGTTGTAGATGGGGGAGGGGTAGTGGGCGGGGAGTGGACAGTAAGACATACCGCAGTCGACTTTGAATTGCTAAGTAGTTTTACAGAGCTAGGTCTGTGTACGTGTGTATATGTATATATACATATCTAGGACTAGTACTTAGTTTCACACCCGGGAGCTGGGAGAAAAAACCTGTACAGTCGTCTTTCTCTTATTTTTAATAAAATAGGAAAACGCGCAATTGCGCGTCATCCCCCCCCCCCTTTTTTTTTTAACAAGTGTTATTTGTGCCGGGAAGAATTTGCTGTCTTTGTAATTTTAAAACTTTAAAATAAAATTGAAAAAGGAAAAAAACTTGAGCGGTGTATTTTTCCTTACTTCCAAGACTGGAGGAGGAGAATGCGGAGCAGTTGGGCGGCCGAGCAGTGGGGGGAATCTGGGGGCGTTTGCACGTGAGAATGGGGGAGCGTTCTAAGAGCTCGACTGACCCGGGAAACCTCAGGGCTGGAGGTTAGCCTCAGCCTGCTTCTAGGCTCCCGCCTCTGGGGTCCAGAGGGCACCCCCTTCAGAAAGGCAGGGGTTGGGATTGAGATGGGGGTCTGGTGGTTTGGGCCCAGGCGCACCTTCCTCCGCCCCGTCGCCTCCCCTCCCCGCCTCGAGGACCGCTCCAGTCTCAATTTACAAATCAGTCCACTTTGGTCCTCTGCGGATCCCACCAGGCCCCGCCCACCGGTGCCTGGGCCCGCCTCCCCTGCCCCTTTAACACGCCCCCTCTCGCTCCGGTTGGCTGCCGCGGCCCGGCCCCCTGCACGTCACCAGCCGCGGCCACCGTGCGCCTGGGCCCGGGGCAGAGAGTTGGGCGCGATGTGGGCTGGCCGCGTCCTTCACGCGGCGCTCTCCGGGGGCCCCCGCGGCCGCCGCGCGCAGTCAGCGCTGGCCCAGCTGCGTGGCATCCTGGAGGAGGAGCTGGAAGGAATCCGCGGGGCTGGCACTTGGAAGAGCGAGCGAGTCATCACGTCCCGTCAAGGACCGCGCATCCACGTGGACGGCGTCTCCGGAGGTAACTGCTCCTCCTGGGAGTCGTCGGACCTGGCCGGGGGGTGAAGGGCCGTTCCGAGGTTTGCGCTGGAGTGGAGGTCCTGCAGGCAGTGGGCGCACCTGCACACTTGGCCACTGGCTCCTTTCCCGTCCATCAGGCAGACTATGGCTTCCCGGTGTTAACTCTAACCTGGTTAAACCCGTTTCCAGCGAGGGAGGTGATTTGCCCTTGACCACATTTTTGGCTCAGAGGGCAGGACTGGACTGAGACCCAGGCCTGTGAGACGTGAGAAAGAAAGAGAGACACCTGCTGGCTCCCATCATGGCACTTCAATGAGGGGTGGGAGAGGCAGCAGCAAGGAGCCCTGCGTTTCTGGAGCTGCTGCTGTGTGCAGGCCTCTACTCGCTGCTGCAGGGGCCTGGTGCAGACCTCCAAAGTAGGGCTGGCTAATCCCACTTCCCGGGCAGAGAGCTGCAGCTCAGAGATGTGAGTGGAGTGGTTTGCCCAAAGGCCTCAGGCAGCTGCAGGCAGAGCTGGACTTTGGCTGAGGCTCTCTGGTATGTTGGAGCTGGAAGGTCAGCTAACTGGCCAGAGAGGCCAGCTTCCCCGCCAGAGTCGCAGTGAGCAAGGGGTGCAAGGGCTGCTGCAGAACCCCATGAATTGGCCGCCAGGCCTCCCTCGTTTCAGTCTAACCGGTGGTCACTGCCTGTCTCGTCTGTGCCAGGCCCAGGTGGGTGCTGGTTATAAACAGGCCCCCGCTCCTGCCTTCTGCCCAGGACACATGCCTGGAGTCCTTGGTGCTGTTGTAGGCATTTGTAAAATGGAGGTCCCGGGACATCCCTGCCTTCCTCCAGGGGAAACTTGGAGCAGGGAAATTAGGAACCCAGCTTCTCGTCCTGTTTTTGCCTCTCCCAGGCTGAGTGAACCTTGCCCTCTTCGGGCCTCAGTTTCCTCCTCAGGTCAGGTGTGTTCACTTGGAGCTTTATAAGTCGGTGGTTGGGGTGTCAGGCACCCCCTTTGGGCATTCGATTCTGTACCAGTTGGCAAGGTCAACTGTGTGGAGTTTGAGGACCACGGTGGGCATCTGACCCGGCGCTCTTCTTTTACCCAGGGGGAAACCAAGGCCCAGACGAGGGGTTGCTGGTGGTCTTCAGGGACGGGAGAAGCCTGTGAGGCAGGGCTGAGTTCCTCCGGGGGTGGGATGTGATTGAAAGCCAGAATGTAAACCTCCTCTCCTTCAAGGCGCCACTCAGTCCCTTCCTGACCCTCCGTCTCTTGTAGTGGCGGATTCCATGCCCCCTAGGGTGATCACACTGTGTGGTTGTCTCCTCCCCAAGGGTGAATCCAGGTTCATCTCCTCTCTGAGTCCCCAGGGCCTGGCACTGACACTTTCCAGGCCCTTCTTTGCCCTGAGCTGCTGTGTCTGTCCCCTCTCCTCCATCTCAGGAATCCTTAACTTCTGTGCCAACAACTACCTGGGGCTCAGCAGCCACCCCGAGGTGATCCAGGCAGGCCTGCAGGCCCTGGAGGAGTTTGGAGCTGGCCTTAGCTCTGTCCGCTTCATCTGTGGGACCCAGGTACACAGTGGGGGTTGTGCGGGTTGAAAGGTTGTCCCCAGCATTGGGCGCTGACCCCAGCTGTCTGCTTCTCACAGTCAGCAGGGCTGGTTTAGCCAGCTCAGCTCGACCCAGGGCCCAGAGCTGTCCTCTAGAAAGGCTGGGTTCAGGCTTCTGTTTTGCTGTGAAGCCTTGGACAAAAAACTTAACCTCTCTGAGCATCCATTTCCCCACGTGCAGAACAGAGCTCCTCACACCTGTTCCCCTTTGGGAAAGGAAGAATAGAAGGCAGGGATTGAGATGGAGGGTTCTGGGGCTGTTCTGCCTGAGCTCAGTTCCCTGCACCACCGTTTATTGTTTCTGTTACCAAAGGCGAGTGTCTTAAACTCTCCGTGCCTCAGTGTCTTCGTTGGTAAAGTGAGAATGACAGTCCTTAGTAAGATGGCTCCAAATTGAAGAATTAGCACACATAGAAATGCTGAGAACGGCGCCCGTCACGTAGCAGTGCTTGATAAATGTTATTATTTTATTTTATAAATGTTATAAAATAAACTTATATAAACATGAAACTTACCGTGCTTACTATGTCCCAGGTACTATTTTAAGAACATTACAAATATTAACTCATTAGTCCTGGTAACAATCCTAAGTGATAGGTGCTATTCTTGTCTCTGTTATAGAGATGAGGACACTGAGGCCCAGAAAAGTTAAGTGACTTGCCCAAAGGCACACAGCCTGTCACAGTGGGATGTGAATGCAGGTAGCCTGTGCTCCTGACTCCTTGTGATGATTATTACCTGTCCTCTCAGAAAAGTGAATGAATGTCAGGGGTGGTACTCCTAACTCGCACTCAGAGCCCTTTCCAACCAAACCCTCACCCAGATTGGACAACTTTCAAATCTAAGCATTTGAGGCCCAAATGAACCTGGAGTTACTAATGTAATCCTCTTCTTTGCCATTAAGCAACCAAAAAAGGCATCAATTTGTTATCAGAAAGGCACATCTTCACCGTCAGCCCGTAAGTCCACCCTCAGACCCCCATTACAAAACGAAGACACAAGCAGGAAGGGACACCTAGCAAGCCCCTGATTGCTCACTGAGAACCATCTGCCAGAGGCCTGTTGGCTCTGGGGGAACCGTTATGGTGAAGGAAGAGTGAGGCCAAGGCTGCTGGCTTTCTGGGCTGGGTCTGTTTCTGGCCCTCTAGCCTCTGTCCCCAGGACGTGTCCCATGCGGCCCTGCAGATATTAACACCTGTTTCACTTGCTTTCTTCAGAGCATCCACAAGGATCTAGAAGCAAAGATAGCCCAATTCCATCAGCGGGAGGACGCCATCCTCTATCCCAGCTGTTTTGATGCGAACGCTGGCCTCTTTGAGGTGTGTGGGGGCCGGGGGTGGGCTGGTGAGGCCAGCTGGGCTGTGGAAGCCTCGGGAGTGGGCGCTTAGGAGAACTGGCGGGACACCAGCACTGTGCTCAGAGGCTCCGGTGCCCATTTCTTATGGAGGTCAAGGTTGGGCCAGGCAGGTGCTCCAGGAGGCATCCTGGGGCTTGCAAGGAGGCCAGCTGCCTGGGCGTTTGAGGGGTAACCTACGTCACCTGGAAGGCTTGGGGTGGCAGGGGCCAAGCACTCACCAGATGTGTCCTCATCAGCTCTCACTAGAGCAGGACACTTGTCCAGCCCGGTCCTGGGGCTCTGGGGACCCAGAGAGAGGCAGAGGGTTCCTTCCCTCCCTGCCCAGAGGAACCCCCTGGCTGGCAGGGAAATTTGGACTTGTGGGGATTCATGGGGGAGAGACAACCCCAAGGAGGATGGGGGATGGCTCCACTCCCACTGCCTTCCTCCAGGCCCTCCTGACCCCGGAGGATGCGGTCCTGTCGGACGAACTGAACCATGCCTCCATCATCGATGGCATCCGCCTGTGCAAGGCCCACAAGTACCGCTACCGCCACCTGGACATGGCCAATCTGGAGGCCAAGCTGCAGGAGGCCCAGGTGGGGCAAGGCTTGGGTTCCAGGGGCAAGGCCTGGGCTAACCCACAGCCCTGCCCCCGGCGAAGGAAATGAGGCTCGGGGAGGCCGACTCCTCACTCACAAACAGCCTGAAAGTTTGAAACAGCCAAGATTTGAACCCAGATCCCTCAGACCAAAGTTTCATTCCGTTGCACCATGCTGCCTTGAGCGTTAGCAAGCACTGTACGTGTGGCAGGCCCCTGCTAGGCACAGAGTAAGATGATCTATGGCTAGAACTGGCCCGGCCTCACCCCGCCCTCTGGGAGAGGAGACTGAGGGCTTTCTCATGGTCCAGGGCTGAGTGTGGCTCCAGACCCCCCTGGAAGAGATGGGTAAAGGGAGAGTGTTGTAGCCCCGACACGGTGGGGCCTATGTGCCCGACTCGGTGCTGGGCGCTGGGCAAGGTGAGCTCCTGGAGCCCCAAGCAGCACAGAGGGCGGGTGGTTTGACCCAACTCATAACACCCCCACCACCTCTCCGTGTCTTCGCTACAGAAGCATCGGCTGCGCCTAGTGGCCACTGATGGGGCCTTTTCCATGGACGGGGACATCGCACCCCTGCAGGAGATCTGCCGCCTCGCCTCTCGATATGGTGCCCTAGTCTTCGTGGACGAATGCCATGCCACTGGCTTCCTGGGGGCCACTGGACGGTGGGAGCACCTGACACCTTAGGCCTTGGGTTGGGCTTCTAAGGGTGGGTGGGAAAGTGGGAGCCCCCAGCCCAGCCCATGATCCCTGGGCAGTCAGGCACGCAGTGGTGGCAGTGGCAGCTTCTCTTGCAGGGGCACGGATGAGCTGCTGGGTGTGATGGACCAGGTCACCATCATCAACTCCACGCTGGGGAAGGCACTGGGCGGAGCATCAGGTGCCTGCAGGGCTGTATCCCTGGGATCCCTTATCCACGTGCAGGGCCCTGGAGGGGTCTCGGAAGGTGGGGAGGGGAGACGTGGGGCTGTGGAGAGAGGGCGGCATGGACTGTACTCTCAGGAGGGGCTGGGGGCAGGCTCAGGCTCCTGGCCTCTGACCACCACCCTCACCCCCACCTCCACCTCTGACCTTGTTCCCAGGGGGCTACACGACAGGACCTGGGCCCCTGGTGTCCCTGCTACGGCAGCGTGCCCGGCCCTACCTCTTCTCCAACAGCCTGCCACCTGCCGTCATTGGCTGTGCCTCCAAGGCCCTGGACCTGCTCATGGAGAGCAATGCCATTGTGCAGTCTATGGCAGCAAAGACCCAGCGGTGCGGTCCCTGGCAGGGGTGGGGCAGGCTGGAGTGGGGGAGATGTGAGGGCCTGCCCTGTGTGCCTGCCCAGGCCCATAGCTCAATGCCTTCAGGTTCTGCTTCTGCCCACACCACGTCCCCAGCAGGCTGCACTGGGACTCAGCTCTCTCCTCCAAGGGCTGCCTGCTTGCCCACCTCCCTCTTCTCTCTGTCACTACCTCCTCTTTCCACTTCCTGGTGCATTTCTCTGCGATTGACCCTGTGTCTCCTCCGCATGCGCAGTCCTGTCTTCCTGTCTCCCTTTTTGGTCTGCCTGGCTCCCCGTCTGCCTCTCTGGCTCTGCATCTCTGTCGTTGTCGGTCCTTCCTGCAGACTTGGGCACACATCTTGGTTCACATGTCCATCAAGAGTAGGTGTGAATTCTCCACAGCCCCCCAGGTGCCTCTGACACCTGGCTTGTTCCCACAGGTTCCGCAGTAAGATGGAGGCTGCTGGCTTCGCCATCTCGGGAGCCCATCACCCCATCTGCCCTGTGATGCTGGGTGACGCACGGCTGGCCTCTTGCATGGCAGATGACATGCTGAAGAGAGGTGAGGGGCCCAGGAGAAGAGGACCAGCTGTGGGTCCTGGGAGAAAAGAGGGGAACCCCTAGACTATGCATACTGCCCCTGACCCCGACCCTACTGCCCCTCTTAGTCCAGCTGTCTGTCTAAGCTTGAAAACCCCAGGCCACGGGCAGTCCCGAGTCTGAGAGACCTTGGGCAGCTCCCTTGCCTCCTGTGGTCTTCAGGAAAGAAGCTGTATGTCACACCCCCAAAGCCTGTCTGGCTCTGGTGAGTCCCAGGTTGGCCCTCTCTACCCTCCCAGGCATCTTTGTCATCGGGTTCAGCTACCCTGTGGTCCCCAAGGGCAAGGCCCGGATCCGGGTACAGATCTCAGCGGTGCACAGCGAGGAGGACATCGACCGCTGCGTGGAGGCCTTCGTGGAGGTGGGGCGGCTGCACGGGGCACTGCCCTGAGCCCTGGGCACTGACAAGCAGAGCCAAGGGCCCCGTCCCTCCACAGTGACAAAGAGGGCCTTTCATCAGCGCAGGCCAGAGGCTCTGAGCCCTGTCAAAGTCCTGCACTCAAGCTGGGGCCAGGCCTGTGCTCGTGGCTGTGTGTGAGGCAACAGTGTGGAAACTGGCTGTGACGTGTTGGTCTGCTTTCTTCCCCCCGGACAGGCCCCGTCCTGTGACTGGTTGAGGAATCAGGCAGGAGTTGGGGCTCAGGGCAGGCTCCTGAGGACTATGGTGGATCTCAGAGCTGACCACCTCCCCCAGATTAAGAGGGGACCCAGGCAGCTGGGGTAGTATGGGCAGGGGCCATCATTGGGTTCAGCTGGATTCTGTGCCGCTGTGGAGGGCAGCTGAGCACCAGCTCTGCAGGCCCTTCCTCACACCACCCCCACCCTACTCTACAGCCCCTTGAGTCTGGCCTTGGTGAACACCTGTCCTCTGCTCCCTGTCCAAAGGCCGGCCTACAGCTGCCCAGATAAGAGGAGGCTGGGTGCCCAAACCCATGTTTGGAGAGACGGAGGAGTCAGGCCGCAAGGGAAAGAGTGTGGGTCACTGCTGGAGAGGCCCCTGACAGTCTGGAGCCGGTATTCTGGCCCATTTTGTCCCTGACTCTATGGCCTCAGGCAGGCCCCATCCCCTCTGTGTGCCTCAGTTTCCTTCCCCTGTACCAAGAATGGATGTTACATTATCATCGCGGGCTTTTCCGTCTGGCTCATCCCAAGGCCCGCTAGCCTGATGGCCAGCCGCCAGGGGGCGCAGCGAGCTCAGGCTCCCGCCGCTCCGCCGCGGGTTCGCCCCGCCCTCTCCAGACCCCAGGCTTTGGACTCGGCCCCGCGGACAAGGCCGGGAGGGCCCACTTGCTGCTGTCAAGGCCCCATCCACCCTTGCTTCCCACAACGGCTCGCTACTCCCCTCCTGGAGATGCCAACGCCCCTCCCACAGTCGCTGCTCCTGGTCTTCCTCTCTCCCCTGCCCTCCCCGCGCAGCCTGATGGGCACCTGGTGGGGGTGGGGCATGGGTTCTGAGTCACCGCTGCTAAAGCCTCTTAAGTGGTGTGGCCTTGGGAAGCTTGTAATTTGCTGGAGGTAGTGCAGGGAGGATGAAAAGGCCCTTCTTCATTAACAACGGGGAACTAGGACAGTGTCCCTGGCGCCCCACACCCCCAGCCCTCCCCTTAGCCTGGACGTCTAGGGGTGGACGATCTGGGCCAGCTCTGGCCCAGTCCTGCAGGATCTTAACTCTGTGGTTCTGGGAATCCTAGCCTGTGATCCAGAGGAGCTTGAGGTTGGGGTCCAGGAGCTGGGGGATGCGGCTTGGGGAAGGGGGCTGCTGTGGCCACATGAGCCGCATGAGCACTTGCATGCCGCCACCACGGGGTACGGCACCTGGCACACTGCTGCAGCAGGGAGTGCACAAGGCCTGGCGGCAGCTCCAGACCCAACCAGCAGCTTGATGTGTGTGGTCTGCGCAGGCCAGCAGGTCACACTGGGCGGTGACGAGCAGCCGCAGAGTGACGCGAGGCAGCCTGTGCGGCGTACCCAGCGGGGCCAGGCCACAAGACCCAGGTCCACCAGCCAGCGGCTGAGAGTGTGCGCCGCCGCCTCCTGCAGCTCCCAGGGGACGCCGTTGGTTGGCGCTGCGCTCCCCTGGGCACAGCGTGGGCAGCAGCAGCGCAGCGACATCCCAGACCAGCTTGCTGCGGGCCCTGGGCCAGCTCGCCGCTCAGTGTGCGGAGCTGCGCCGGCCCAGTCTGCCGCCATCCAGAAGGGGTCATAGAAGGCGCCAGCAGGCGCAGCAGTGCTTCGGCCTGGGCCCATGTCCTTCGGCCTGGGCGCCTATGGTAGTCGCCGGACGCCTGCGACGGGCTGGAGGGCTGCGCAGGGCCCGAGGGCCGACTGTGGATCAGCTGCACTTCTGCATCCTGTGGGGCCCGGGGTTCCGGGGACGCTCCCAGGACACACTGTCCACGTCCTCTGCATCAGGCGCCAGGTTCAAGGCCGCCAGGAGCAGCAGTTGGAGCAAGAGGGAGAGGTGGCACCAGGGGTCATGCCTGCCCTTCAGCAGAGCTCCGACCTTCCCTCCATCTCTGCCATCATGTCAGCCGTTCAGCCTTGCGGCTCCTGGGAGCTCCTTGCCGGTCCTGCCACAGCCCATCCAGAGCCCAGCCCTGATGGGGAGGGTCCTTGGGGGCTGGGGACTCCCAGGGGGAGGGAGGACAGTGTCAGGGATCTCAGGGGCTTCAGGGTCCAGGCGTGCCACATTCGTGTCTCCAGGCTTCTGGGAGTCTAGTGCATTACTTTCGCACAACACGGTTGTGGGCCTCTCACTCAGTGATTCTGAAATCCTGGCACACTGAGCGTGGAATCCTACGGTTCTGCCCTTTGGTCTACAACTCTGCTTCCTTAATTCCGTTCTGTTAGCTCTAGTTTGCCTTAGCAGAGTCTGGTGTGATTCCTAATATCTGCAATTCAGTGAGTCTTCTGCTGCCAAGAATTGCGGGACGCTCTGTGTCTGGGATGAGCGGGTCAGATCTGGAGAAGCCCCTCTGAGCGCTGGGGGAAATGCCGGGGCCTTTGAGGAGCTAGTTGGGAAGTTCTCCTGGCTTCCTCACGTTCCCCCAGGCTATTTTCTCTCCCTTCTCACAGACTCCCCTTTACATTCCCCCACTCTCCTGGCTTCTAGAAAGACTCCACACAAAAAGAGTGGAAAGAGTCCTTCCCGCCTCGTCTCTCCTTTAACTCATTGCAGACGGCCTTCTGCCCCACTACACTTGTCCAGTTTACCAACAACCTCCTTTTTGCTAAATCTAATGTACCTTCCTCCCCCACTCCCCCCAACCCCATGCTGACCTCTCTAACCCTCTGGAAGCAATTGGCCATGTGGCTCACTCCTCCAAGAACTGCATAACTGAGTCACACAGCCATTCACCAAGAACTGGTAACCTCTTTGGTTGTTACCTGGACAAGAGGCTCCTAACAGGTCACTCGTTAAACCACCCCCCCACGCTTTTTCACCCCAGGCCATAATAAACTTCTTACAAAATAAATGGAAAGGTCATGTCTCTCCTCAAGAACTTTCACTAGCTCCCCATTGCGCTCTGGCTAAAGCCAGACTCTGGATGGCACGTAAACCCTCTATTCTCCAGCCAGACTGGACTCCTGGAACAAACAGGGAAGCTGATGGGCCTCCGGATTCTCAGGCCCCAGAGGAGGAGTCTCCTCTGAAGTCTGTAGAAAAGGGACTCATTCTGGTTTCCTAGCCTAGGACACCCTGCTCAAGACTAGGAATCCTTTCTGAGCTTAGATGGGAGCCCTGCTTCAAGCAGGGAGGGGAGAGGATGGGGGGCGGAGTCATCAGGCGGGGCCACAGGAGGCAGCGCCAGGAACGGGCTGAGCCCTGGGTACGGAGGGGTTAACTACAAAGCGAAGCTCAGCGAGCGAGATCAATGGGTTACTCACTGCAGAAAGAGAGAGAAGCAACGCAGAGAGGCCGAGAAGAGCCAGGCAGAAGAGCATGCCTCCTGGGGGAAATTAGGGACTGACGGGGAGGTGTCCAGAGGCTCCTGGGGAGGGAGTGCCCAAGTCCGGCTCAGCAGAGAAGGGACCTTAAAGGAGAAGAGGGAGAAGTAGGAGGCAGACCTGTACCTGCAGGGAGGCTCCAAGGGACAGCCACTGAGCCAGGAGGCAGCCTCAGCCTGGCCGGGTCACCCAGGATCGAGCAGGGGCCCAGTGCCCAGGGTTGAGGTGGGTGTTGCCCATCCTGGGTTTCGGGGGTCTGCTGCATGCTGGGTGCTGGGGGCGGGGGGGCAGACAGCACCTTCCTTCCCTCCTCCCTGCTTGGTCCCCCTTGCCTTGAATTTGTCCCACCACACCAGAGGTCCTGGGCCATGCGGGGGGGATCCACAGGTAGTAGCCGATGTGGGCTCTGGGGTGGGGCAGGAGTGAGAGTGGGCACAGCTTGCACAAATGCACGCACACACATGCAGGTTCTCAGAGGCACCACCTGTTACAGGCTCTCATATGAGCGCTCCAGCCTGGGAATCAGGGTACCAGGGTGGCATTAGACCTAGATCTGCGAGAGTGTGGTATTAGCCTCCCACGTCCCCTCTCTGAGCCTCGATTTCCTTGTGTGCAAAAAAGGGGCAGTGACCTACATGGTCTTCCCAGCTGTGCCACTGTGGGGCTTTCAGTAGACTGGACTCTCCAATGACTCAAGGGTGTCACCTGAGGCTACAACTTATAGCCAGATGGAAGTCCATGACCCATGTCCGAGAGTCTTCCTTGAGCTTCAGATCCCACTCGGAAAATATACCAGCTCCTGGGATTGGAGCTGCCCCTCCTCCATCCGCCGTGTCCTCAGCTTGTTCTGCCTGTGTCTTACATGCATCATTGCCTGGCGGTATCTGTCAACTACCTAATCAGCCCTGCGCGCCCTGGGCTGTGGGGGGTGTTCCCTAGGAAACTGAGAAACCCACCCCCAAAACCAATGTGATTGTGCTAGCAGCTTGCACAGTGGGGCTCAGTAATGACTTTCTGCTCTGTTCCCCCACTCCCACCCCCATCCCCCATGAACTTCCAGCCCAGGAGACCTGGCGGGGCCCAGGCTTGGGGGAGCTAGACCCCTGGGTCGAGTGACCAGAGCTGGGGGCTCCTGCCTGAGGACTCCAGCTTCTCTTCCCCAGGTGCCCATCTGATGGGGAGATGGCTGATGCCCAGAACATTTCGCTGGACAGCCCAGGGAGTGTGGGGGCTGTGGCAGTGCCTGTGGTCTTTGCCTTCATCTTCCTCCTGGGCACAGTGGGCAACGGGCTGGGGCTAGCGGTGCTGCTGCAGCCCCGGCCCGAGTGCCTGGCAGGAGCCGGGCAGCACTACGGGATCTATTCATCCTCAACCTGGCGGTGGCCGACCTCTGCTTCATCCTGTGCTGCGTGCCTTTCCAGGCTGCCATCTACACACTGGACGCCTGGCTCTTTGGAGCCCTCGTGTGTAAGGCCGTGCACCTGCTCATCTACCTCACCATGTACGCCAGCAGCTTCACGCTGGCCGCCGTCTCAGTGGACAGGTGTGCTGTGCGGGGCTTGGCGGGGCCTGGCTGGGCCTGGCTGGGTCTGGCTGGGGAGGGAAGATCTGAGCAGATTCCCATTGGCCACAGGAAGGAGAGAATGAAGGACCAAGAAGGGAGATGGGAGGGAGGGAAGGATCAGCTGTCTGGTCCCCACCAACCAGTGTCTGGGCACCTGCAGGGCATGCTTGAGGGGACCATCCTGCCCTCCCCGCAACTCCAGTGTCAGCTTCCCCAGGACATCTCTCTGTCTTGCGTGTCAGCAAAGAGCCTGGCACATAGTAGGTGCCCTGTAAGTGAAATGAATGGCAAAAGGAACACAATTAATTCATCGGGTATTTTATTACCGCCCACATCTGGCCCAGATTGTGCTCATAGCTGCTTTCACAGCTTGAAACTTGGGGTCAAATCCAGGCTCACGCTCTAGCTGATGACCTTGAGCAAGTCACTTCTCTCTGAGCCTCCGACCCAGCCTTGCTAGGTGCCAAGCGCGGCTCTAAGCGCTGTGTGTTAACTGCCTCCATGTTCCCACCCAGCCTGTGAGGCCGGGCGCGCGATCGCCCGTACCGTGCAGACGCGGAAATCCAGGCCGCCGGGCCCCCGCTCCCCCGGGCAGCGTGAGCATGGGGGCGCGGATGCGGGCCCGCCCGCCGCCGCGCTGACCCCGCGCCCGCCCGCTCGCCCGCAGGTACCTGGCCGTGCGGCACCCGCTGCGCTCGCGGGCCCTGCGCACCCCGCGCAACGCCCGCGCCGCCGTGGGCCTCGTCTGGCTGCTGGCGGCGCTCTGCTCGGCGCCCTACCTCAGCTACTACGGCACGGTGCGCTACGGCGCGCTCGAGCTCTGCGTGCCCGCCTGGGAGGACGCGCGCCGCCGCGCCCTCGACGTGGCCACCTTCGCCGCCGGCTACCTGCTGCCTGTGGCCGTGGTGAGCCTGGCCTACGGGCGCACGCTGCGCTTCCTCTGGGCGGCCGTGGGCCCCGCGGGCGCGGCGGCGGCCGAGGCCCGGCGCAGAGCCACGGGCCGCGCGGGGCGCGCCATGCTGGCGGTGGCCGCGCTCTACGCCCTCTGCTGGGGCCCGCACCACGCGCTCATCCTGTGCTTCTGGTACGGCCGCTTCGCCTTCAGCCCGGCCACCTACGCCTGCCGCCTGGCCTCGCACTGCCTCGCCTACGCCAACTCCTGCCTCAACCCGCTCGTCTACGCGCTCGCCTCGCGCCACTTCCGCGCGCGCTTCCGCCGCCTGTGGCCCTGCGGCCGCCGCCGCCGCCACCGCGCCCGCTGCCCACCGGGCGCGCGCCGCGCCCTCCGTCGCATCGGCCCGGCGTCCTCGGGCCCTGCCGGCTGCCCCGGGGACGCCTGGCCTCGCGGGAGGCTGCCGGCGGGCGGCGGCTGGGACGGGCAGCCCGCGGGGGAGCCTGCCCGCGGCGGAGAGGCTGGACGAGCCCTGTCTGCCCGAGGACCGGAATAAACCTTGTCCGCCTCCCCTCTGCTGGGTGTCCGTCTGTCTTTCCTCTTCCCCCAGGGCAGGACGCTACGAGGGATGGGGGCTAGGGACGGGGCCAACGCCAGGAGCCCTCTGAGGAGCAGGGCCTGAGCTGAGGCTCCAGCCCATTGGACACCCCTGGGCCGTGAAAATGGGTCAACGCAGCCAAGCGGAGCCTCCTAGCTCGGCAGCCCCAGACTGTGTCCACAGCTGGTGTGGCAGGAGGGCAGTCCCTCTGCCCATCTCTGCAACTTGCCAGCACCTGCCAGGCCCTGCCTTCCTCCACCACCCTTCACCGAGCCTCTTCTCCTTTCCAGGCCCCGTCCTGGGTCATTTAACACTAGCAGCTAATATAGCACATATTTATTAAGTACTTACTATGTATCTTGTGCAGGGCTACGTTCCTCAGTTTAATTATCGAAACAGTGTTGCAAGATAGAATTAGTTTATTTTATAGATGTGGAAATCAAGAATCAGAGAGGTTTAGTGGTTTGCCCAAGGCCACATGGCTAGTATTTGGCAGAGTTTGGATTCAAACCCACTGCTGCCTGTCTGTCTTCTACTCAGTGGAACCTCCTTCCCCACCTCCGGGGCCTCTGCTCTCAGTTTCCATGGTTTTCAAGGTTTCTCTTGGTTCTTCCTGATTCTGCATCAGCCCTCTTCCCCAAACCTGCAGCTCCCTACGCTCGCCTGGATGCCCGGGAAGCCTCAGAGGGCTTCCAGTCCCCTCCCTCGCGGAGTTCTGTGCAGGTGCTCAGGCCAGTGGGTCCTGGGTCCATTGCCTGGCCCAAAACTCTTGCACTGTTCCTTCAGCCTTTTGGCATTCCTGGGTCAGGAGAGAAAATGAGCCACACTCAGGCCCCAGCTGGCCCCCAGCAGCAGCTGCTGCCTTGTGGCCCCTCCCTCCCTGTCCCTGCCTACAGCTGGGTAGTCTGTGGCTGTGGAAACCTCCTGGTTAACCAAGATATCAGTCTCCATGGCTGCAGACCTACCCACTTCCCTCCCTCCCTCACCACACGCCAATGTTTATTCGCTCTGGCCAAGGCCTGAGACCTCTCAGCCTCCGTGTCTCCCCAGCACACCTCCTGGCTGCTGGGCACCCAGGGAAGACCCCCTCCCTGACATTAGGCAGGTGCTGAGTCCTTGTCACTGCCTGCCACCTGCCACAGACCTCGGAGTCAGAGTGGCAGTCACCCTTTACAGGGGAAGGCTGAGACCCAGCTGGGGGAGTGACTGCTTCAAGGGCCCAGCACGAGGGCCTGACACCTGGTCCAATGCTCTTTTCCCCACATCTCTGCCAAGGTCGCACAGCTGACTCAGGCTGCAGGAGTGGGAGTGTGGCTTGCAGGGCAGGAGGTGTGAGGGTGCCCCTTCCACAGCATCCAGCGTGGCCTCTGTCTTCCTGGGGCCAGCACTCACACCGCCGCTGGATCATCTGTGCCTCGCACCAACCCTGGCAAGCAAGCGATGTTACCTTCATTTGCAGAAGCAAAAACTGAGG